AGCCCTCATTGGCGTCTGTGTTTACAGGGCCCTAAGCCTCCACATGGCCTCTAATCGGCTCCTGTGCTACAGGGCCATACAAGGTACCCAGGTGGCAGCGAAGCTTCGACACCCAATCCCTCCACCACCACTTAGCTTTTCTTGGAGAAAAATTATGTGTTAAATCTGCCAGATTGAGCTCTATCTAGAGACACCACTCGCAGATGATTTAATGAGCCCTTCACAGCGTGGTGTGAAAATATCATCTGGGCCCCGGTTTTTTTGGTGATATCAAGGGCTGGGCCGTCATCTGCGGGGTCATCGCCTGACACCCCACCAAAAAAGACCTTCAATATCCACTTGATCTCGTCGAAGCCCATACAGTGTTGTGGAGCAAGAGGGTGCGGCTGAATATGCGATGCAAGGATCAATTCTCGGCTCTGATTGGCCAGCGTTGGGCTTTGTCTTGTAAGATGGATCAAAGATGTAGTAATGGGGGTTACGCTACTGTTATTCTAATCACACCCTGGTGCAAGCTAATCAAAATGGTCGCAGTGCTCGAGTGCTAAGGTGGTTATGTTCGTTTTGTGCCTATCGGCTTCCGTACTAGCCTACCTGAAGTTAACTCAATGTAGCCTCGTGCGGCTGACTCCGCGCCGTCTCGGAACCCCTGTTAAAATGACCACCCCACCAGACAGTTTCTTCTCGAGTTCTCGTCTCTCACATTCCAGCCACATGCATTCTTTCTAGTACTTCATCACGATCTCAACGTCGGTTCAACAAGATGGACTACACAGGCCTCAAGCTTCACCACAGGCAGATTCGACTCATCACATTGAGCCCTGTGCCTGTGGGCGAGGATCCCGACACAGCACCAATGCGATGCACCATGACAGTCCGCGACCAACCGCTTCCGACCAACATGGAACAAAAAAACGGCTCTAGCTTTCCATCGCCCTACATCAGCTTTGATCAGTGCATAACCCAGCCGCCACTCGAAACTTTTGTTGAAGAATTTCGCCAGGAGATGGTTCCTCTCCTTGGAGCCTATGAGAAGCGCAAGTCCTCCTGGGTCACCCGAGCGGCTAACAAGGTGCTCAGACACCTGTTTCACCGAGAACCCGTCCTAACATTTCCGGTCGACAATATTGCAAACCTCCTTAGTCACGAGGACAGGCTCAGGCTTACGACCGACACTCGAGGCGACGGCGAACTCCGTATCACGGGACCTGAAGTAGTCTTCCACAGCTTTGAAGACGCAGCAGGTTCTGCGGTCCATATTACAAGGCGGTCTCCGCGCATTACCCATACCGGGCTGCTTTCTCCGGACAGTCTCAACCCGTTTTTGCGCCCACGGGATCAGAGCCACGCGTCGTACATGAAGAACCTTGAGCGCGCTATCAAGCCGGACACCTATGTGGCCATGTCCTATGCCTGGGGACCTCCCAAGCCCACGGCTCAGATAATGGTGAACGGCAAGAATGTCCCGGTGCGTGCCAATCTTGAAGCCGGTCTGCGGGAGTTTCGAAAGCTGGACTATTTCCGCTTGGGCGGCAAGCTGTGGGTCGACTCGTTATGTATCAACCAAGCGGACGAATCCGAAAAGGAAAAGCAAGTGCAAATTATGGCTTCTATTTACAGCCATGCTGCCAACGTCATTGTCTGGCTGGGACTTGAGGAACCAGGAAGCGATCTCGCCATCCAGTTTCTCGAGGACATCAGTGCCGACTACCGGGCCGAGTATCTCGAAGTGCTCGATAAGAGCGACCCCCTTACAGCAACTACGTGGCGCACTATGGCCCAAATCCGCATGGACACGAGGTACATCAACTTCAGAAAGAACTCGTTGAAGGAGCTCGGCGACAGCAAGATATTCGCCTACTTTGAGGACATTGCTGCTTCACTCTACGACTTTTTCAACCGGCCTTACTGGCGGCGACTATGGATTATCCAGGAGCTCTGCATGGGACGAGCAGGCATGCCCATCGTTTGCGGGTCCCGAATCACGCAGTGGCGGTATATTCGGGATGGCGCCTTGAGATGTACCGCCATTCTCGACATCCTCAGAGAGGTCACAGGGGAGAACATCCGGTGCCAACGACTGATCGCTGAAGGAAAAGAACACTCACTTCTGCACGTTGCGCAAATCGCCCAACTAGAGATCGCGGGCCACAGGTCAGAGCTGCCTAAGTTGCCGCCCAACATCGTGCCGATCTTGGCTCCTAATCTTCATGAGCATGGGCCCCTATTGGGCTCTCCCATCCGCCGCGCCATCACACTCACGGCACAGACCATGTGCTCGGTGCAGCATGACCGCATCTACGGCATGCTTAACATCCGCGGCTTGCCGGACCTGGATATCAAGGTCGATTACTCCAAGGACATTGTCACTGTCTTCACCGAGTTCTCGGAGGCTTGCATAAAGCACGGGAGCATGGATTTCTTTTCTCTACTGGACGGCGGCTTTATGTCGCTCACTGATATACATGGCAATCAACAGCAGAGAGAGAAACCGTCCTGGGTTCCGGATTATGGAGCGAAGCCCGAGAGAAGGATCGGGATCATTGACGGAAACTGGCATGCCGGGGGATATGTCCACATCAGCTGGGGCCGCCCCGAGATAGTCGATCGAACCCTTGTCTGCACCGGCAAAGTGGTCGACATGATTGATGGAGTGGGCGCTATGTCCAGGGCTGATATCCAATCCGGGACGATGATCCTCACTGAGGCGGATCCCTTGCCTAGGATAGTGCAACCTACCGGGGCAGGTGCCATGGCGACTCGGGACGACGGTGGAGAGGACGTAATCTACGATGTTCTCGTTGGCGGATGCGACATCAACGGTGCAGAGGCACCCAAGTCATTCAAATGCCTTTACTCCGCATTTCCAGGTATGTGTTTGAATAGAAACACTCCCCTGTTGGATGCTTGCTTGGCTGAGTCCATAAGGTATCTTACTATCAAGAGGGCGAAGCTAATACGAGGCCATCTAGTCGATGAACCGCCCAAACACTCGACCTTCTACCGGAACTGGCACTTTCTCAAGTCCAGCGCAAACTTCTTAGTCAATGGCCGCCCTCTGTCCACTTACTTCACCCACCTTGCCGATGCTCCGGCAGCCGGCAACCCCGCATGCCAACAGCAGGAGTGCACACCCTCTGCCCAGAGCGGCAACGCTGAACGACACACAGGTCCGATCGAAACGTCTGCAGCTCGCCAAGCGATGGAGGCAAGAACAAAGATGCGCAGACTCGTCATGACAACCTCGGGGTTGCTCGGTCTTGCTCCGGCCCAGACACAGTCCGGGGACGCCGTGATTGCCATCATCGGCCACGGCAAGCCAGTCATCGCGCGCAAGGTAACAACGATTGAGGGTCAGGATGTATGGTATTTGATTGGAGAAACATACATCCACGGCATGATGCGCGCTGAGAAAATGCCCATGTCAACGAAAGAGTGGCATGCCCGGGAAACGATGGCGACCCTGGGACAAGTTGGGCCCATCCCTTTTGTTTAATGTCTCCAGTATACAACAATATTATGGGTCGAATTGCTATCACTTGAGTAGTCCGCCGGGCCCAAACACGAAGGGCCATATGAGAGCTTGCATGTTTGTATGAGGAGGAGGAGTCATGTAGGATATGAAGAAGGAGTAGCTCCACGATGTCCATTCTGTCTAGACATTTTCTTTGTAGACGTTGCAGTATATCACTGTCCCAAGAAGGTTCTCTCGCTCGTGCGTTTAGCCCTCCTGTCCCTTCGCAACCCAACTCCTCTTACTATTTATCGGCCTAACTAGGTAATTAAACCCACAGCAACAGCGTCAGGATCTAACCAAGTCTTCATCGGCACAGGGATGCCGAGCCACAACACCTCCACTAGAAGTAATCAAACCGCATCAAGGTGCGTCGTCTGCTGTTACATCTTGAGATTCGGCCCGTTTACTTGGCAGCGTGGTGGTGCCCGTTGAGGTCCTGACGACAGAGTTACCCAGGCTAGAAATGTCCGCCGAGGCTCCTCCGGCACTACTAACCGAGGCCATGCCGCCAAGACAGAGAAGAGCCGTCCCCGCGTCTCCGCGCGGGGCCCCGGATTCTCAGTTCACGGGGTATGTCGGTCCGACAACTCCCATGTGAAGACAACGCAGGAAACTCCCAAAAGTTTCCGCGACTTAAGGAGGACTCAAGCTTGTTGATGGACCTACCTCGGCAGCACTGCCCTTTGAGCACCGAGAGATTGGCCGAGTGTGACTTCGCGTGACAACTAGTTACCTCTACTGCAAACTTGACGAGTCCTGTCCGCCAATAGGGGACAGTACGACACGAAGGAGGTAGCTCGTAAAGTCTGGCTCGTGAGATACGTATAAATGTCCCTATGTCTATGTCGACTACCGTTTGCTGACTGCCAGTACCCCAACAACCCATCCCTCCCGTCGGGACACGCTTTCTGCCCTCAACTCTCTTCACCTTTCGGTTGCCTCAACCAAATCCAACCAAGTCCAAGAAGCGACACAATGAAGCTGACGTACTTAGCTGTCATCCTCTCGACAGCAGCGTCGGTCCATGGCCACGGATACCTAACCATCCCTTCCAGTCGAACTCGGCTTGGCGCAGAGGTGAGGAAAGTCTCCTTGCATGCCAAGTCACCATCAGAATCTAACCTGCGTGTGTAGGCTGGTCTCGATTCCTGTCCCGAATGCAACATCCTCGAACCAGTTCAGGCGTGGCCAGATCTCAACGCCGCACCAGTGGGCCGAAGCGGTCCCTGTGGCTACAATGCGCGGGTGAGCATCGACTACAACCAGCCGACGGCAAACTGGGGCAATTCAGTGGTCGCCAGATATTACCCGGGGCAGGTCGTCGACGTGCAGTGGTGTGTCGACCACAACGGTGACCACGGCGGCATGTTCAGCTACCGCATCTGCCAGAACCAAACCCTCGTCAACAAGTTCCTCACCCCAGGCTACCTCCCGACCCAAGCCGAGAAGCAGGCTGCTGAAAACTGCTTCGAGGCCGGGACACTCTCATGCACCGATGTGTCTGGGCAAGACTGCGGCTACAACCCGGACTGCTCGCCCGGTCAACCGTGCTGGCGGAACGACTGGTTCACCTGCAACGCCTTCCAAGCGAGCACCCGGCGCGCATGTCAAGGCGTCGACAACGCGCCTTTGGGATCATGCTACACCAGCATCTCGGGCGGGTTCCCTGTCACCAAGAAGATTCGGATCCCCAACTACCAGTCGCCCCACACGTTGCTGTCCTTCAAGTGGAACTCGTACCAGACCGGGCAGATTTACCTCTCGTGCGCCGACATCGCCATCACCGGTGACGGACCAACCTCCCAGAGCAGCTTGAGTGCAACGACCTTGACGACCAGCACTGTCTCGTCCACAACTACTACTCCGAGCGCGTCTTGCACCGCAGCCGCCGCCTCTGTGGCGGTGATCTTCAAGGAACGCGCGACGACAAGCTGGGGCCAGGTCATCAAAATCGTCGGCTCGATTCCTGAGCTTGGGAATTGGGATCCGTCAGCTGCGCCGGCCTTGTCGGCGTCGGAGTACACCAGTTCCAACCCGGTCTGGGCCTACACTGCCCACCTGACTGCCGGCACCAGCTTCCAGTACAAGTTTGTCAACGTGGCCAGCAACGGCGCTGTGACCTGGGAGAGCGATCCCAACCGGTCGTTTACCGTGCCGAAAAGCTGCAGCACGACTGCGCTGAGCGAGACGTCGTGGAGATGAAGCCCGGCAGAGAAAGGGTCTGGTAGATTGGGATTCGGGAGGGGATGAATAGAGGCCAGGCTCGATAGCGCCCATCGCTCCGGGCGTTGCCTTGGTACGGTTATGCGCGAGCAGATTGAGGAGCAAACAAGGGGTTGTTGATCTATTGGAAATCCGCATGGTGGCGCTGTCTGTGTGTCTGTGACTTATCATTTAGTTTTTCGCAATCTCAAACGCAGGCAAGTATCGAGATCTAAGCTCCACGAGTCGCGAGATGAGTCGCGAGATGCGTCTCTTGTGGCGTACGCACCAATATTTCTGCGCGGCTCGGACCCCGCCGCGCCTGGTTAGCTGCAAGTCAAACTGGTCGGGGAGTCGGGGAAGCGCTAAGCGAGATATCACATGAGTCCGGTTCCTGGACAGTATCCAGAAAGGGACTCGGTCCATGCCTCTCCGTGGCCGTAAAAGTTCAGCTGTGCATAGTGGCATGCAGCCAACCTGCTGGCGGGGCTTGGCATCCGGGAGGGCCGGACTTGTAACCAAGAAGCCTTCGAGAAGCCTCAGAAGCCTCGGATGAACCCCTCAACCCCATCGGGCCGGGAATAGGTACAGGAACAGGCGGTTACGCCCGTACCTGCCAAGGCCCGCCAAGCTTTCCCCAAGTTCCCCTTTCTGGGGGGGCGGCCCAAGATGCTCCGTTGTTGATTCAAGTGGAGTTCTAACGCGAAGGCGGCCAACCGCATGCAGATGATAAATATCATGAGCTTTTGGACGTCTGGTTGCGTTTGAGTTCCTGCAAGAGGGCGTGCTCCAGATCCTCAGGACCAGACCAGACCGTCAACATGCACCTTTCAGCCTCGCTCCTCGTCACCAGCCTGCTGGCCCTCACGGCCACTGCTGCCCCTTCCAAGAACAAGTTCGTCAGGGTCGAAGGGCAGAAGTTCAAGCTTCAGGGCAAAGATTTCCACTTTGCGGGAAGCAACGCCTACTACTTCCCGTTCAATGGGGTTGGTGGACTCGCCAAAAACCTCCTTCCGGGCAGGGCATCAAGCTGACAGAATCTGCGTGTGATAGGACCAGGCGGACGTTGAAAAGGGGTTGACCGCGGCCAAGAAGGCAGGTCTCACGGTCTTCCGGACCTGGGGGTTCAACGACAAGAATGCCACCTACAACCCCGACGGTCTGCCCAAGTACGGCGGCGAAGGTGCCGGCGCAACCGAGGTCGTCTTCCAGAGGTTCTACGACAATGGCACCATTGCCATTGACGTCTCGGGCTTCGACAAGGTCGTCAAGGCTGCCGAGAAAGTTGGCATCAAGCTCCTCGTTGCCTTGACAAACAACTGGGCCGACTACGGCGGCATGGACGTCTACACGGTCAACCTCGGGGGCAAGTACCACGACGATGTAAGCTCGCCCCAGGTCTTTTCTCACGATATTCAGCTGACATGGCCCAAGTTCTACACCCAGCCCAAGATCAAGGACGCCTTCAAGCGCTATGTCAAGGCCATGGTTACCCGCTACAAGGACTCGCCGACCATCTTCGCGTGGGAGCTCGCGAACGAGCCCCGCTGCGGCGCCGACGGCGTGCGCAACCTGCCCCGCAGCGACAAGTGCACGCCCGCGGTGCTCTCGGCCTGGGTGTCGGAGATGAGCGCCTACATCAAGAAGCTGGACTGCAACCACCTGGTGACCTGGGGCGGCGAGGGCGGCTTCAACCGCGAGTCGGACGACTGGGCCTATAACGGCGCCGACGGGGGCGACTTTGACCACGAGCTGGCCATCAAGACCATCGACTTTGGTGTCTTCCACTCGTACCCGGATTGGTGGACCAAGACGGTCGAGTGGACCAACCAGTGGATCCGCGACCACGCCGCCGCCGGCCGCAAGATCGGCAAGCCCGTCGTCCACGAGGAATACGGCTGGCTGACGCCCGACAAGCGGCTCGAGTACACGGGCCGGGTCGACAACCGGACCCGCACCGAGGTCATTGGCGGCTGGCAGAAGACCACGGTCGAGGAGAAGCTCGCCGGTAGCATGTACTGGCAGTACGGCTACTGCGAGTACTCGTATGGCTGCAACCACAACGACGGTTTCACCATTTACCTGGCCGACGAGGAAGCCAAGCTGCTGGTCTACCAGCACGCCAAGGACATGAACGCTCTGAACCGCCGTTAACATGAGCGACTGATTCAAGCGTGCACAGAGGGTGAACCTCATCTCTCACTCATCCTTTTACTTCTCTTGTGTTATTAGCTTCGTTAGAGTCTTACCTATGCAGCGAACTTCAAAAAGTGCCGCCCTGGGCTCAACAGCTCCTATGTCACTGCCCAAAATTCTGACATTGTACTAAGAGTCGAACCGGCTGATTTTGATGTGTGACCTTGCCGATCATCTGGTCCGGCGAGTCAGTATGCGAGAAATAGAAAGCCAAGACAGCCCAAGCGGGGATAATTCACTCATTCAGCCTTCATGCGGTTCCCCAGTGCGAACATATGTAGGGAGGGCTGGGCGTCATTGCTGCTGGCAGATTGCTTTAAACCGGGCTAGCTGCCTCCTTACTTTACCGTTCCTCGGTCAGTCCCGCACCATTTCCTCGCGAAGTACCTCTCCACAGTCCCAGATCACCATCGCCGTTATCATGTGGTTCAGCAAGCTGACAGTCCTTCTTCTGGCGTTTGTGTCCACTTCATTCTGTCAATACACAGGTCCCTGTTCCGCTTCGGCCTGTGGCGCTGAAGGAAAGCCATGCCCCCGAGGTTACCTGTGGTACCATGGCCGCATATCGATCCCGCGCTGCGGAAGGGGTGCACTTGTAGTCATGGCTAAGTGCCATTGCTCATTAACGCTGGAGGGTCCGTCAAAGGTACGACTGCCAAGGTCATGAAACGCGGCGCTCAATAATGCTAACTAAGTAACAAGAACACGGTTGCGAAGCTTGAGATGTGGCATCGGGGTTTTGTCGAAGCCGGTATATTATATTATTATTCCTACACCGCTGTGCCCTAGGGCGTGCCGGACCTTCAACAACTTA